AATATGTAAAGTAAATAGTACAGTGTACTGTATAAATGAAGACTGTTTCTCAGGGTCGGATAGGATAGCTTGGAGAGTCAATAATGGTTTACAGAAACTTTCACTTATGGATCACCGGCTCAGGTGAGGTATGACCAGAACTTACTACTATCCATGGCCGGCACTAGACCAAATGGCATACCAGGCGAGCAGCATCTTTGGAGCCCCTCCCCTCTTCATTTGTTAAACTTTTGAATACCTTATTTTTATTGCATTTGTAGCCCATTTCATGACTCTGACACACAATTTGCATGAATGATTTATCCCTGTCATATAAGATGATAAATTTGCATGCTAGGATTTGTAAATCTGTATTTATTCAAGCAAATAAAAAAGTTGTTTCCTCTAAGCTTATGGAAACTTTTTAATTTTAAGAATACCTGAAATGTACTAACATCAAGAAATTGAGCTGTGCACCAACATTGGGTGGACCAGTAGTAAATAGTGTTATCGTAGGTGACAACCTTAGAATGTAAACCCTAGTCCTTTAGTTCAAAAGGTCTGTGTTGTTCTGTTTCAGATATTTTCCCATTAGATTTGCCCCTCACTGCAAATTAGATTCCAATGGAGCTTTTTGCTTTCTATACTGAGCTCCTGAAGGCTTCTGTTGGGGCATCTTTTATTTTCAATAGAGGAAAACAGATAGACTTTTGCTGTCCCTAATACTATGTTCTGCAGTCTTAGAAAGTCATCAAACATTACTTCTTTTGTCATGCTTAATATCTAACAGTGTTCCTTTTATATTGTTGCATAAATAGGGATTCAGTAGATATCTCTGGCATCTCATTAAATATGTCCTTTATTAGTCACTACTTACACTCTTCAAGTCTTAAAACACAAGTACACTTTCACAATTACACAATAAAACAAGATTCACAATATCGCAGCTGGGTTTTCAGTTCAGTTCATTCTTATATCTCAGTGACTGCCTAGCGATGCCCCACCCCTTATATACCTATGAGGCTATGACTGACAACATTCTAGGAGGGTCAAGGAAAATATAGTTCTCAGAAAGTCTGGAATGTTCCATGAGATTCTACAAAGGTCCAGAACATTCTAGGAGGCTAGTGAAAAATTAATCCACATATGGAATACCTGAAACATGTTACTTCTAACATTTTATTTTCCTTTTTGTCACTAACAACAAAAATAGCACCCCAGGTGGTCGCCTGGGTTGCCTGCCCCTAAATCTGGCTCTACTGCTATCTGATGGTTGGGTGGTGTTGAGTGTGAAATTAGTTTGGTGGGTGGCCACCCAGCTTCCAATGTAAGTGGCCACACCATCAAAATTAGCAACTTTCTGGCCAGTCACAGGAGAGAAGCCAATGTCTGATTCACCCATGAATAGCCTCTGACTCCTAGAAGTAGTCCTCGCAGGTCAGGTTTAAGGTACAGTGACAGGGTAGTGTGAAGAAACTTGCATTGCTGCTTCCTCTGCCCAGGATTGTTCTGGGGATAAACCAAATACATCAACTGCCAAGCCTGTAAATCTGGCTCCTTTCATCAGCACTAAACCCACCTGAAAATTTTCAAATGCAAAATGCTTTTCACATGATGCCAAAGAAAGACACCTCTACTATTCCAGTTGGGGCACGTTTGCAGGGCTGGGAGCTTGGTAGGACAGAGGCTAAACCTTGGGACCACCTTGGGGCTAGTGGGTTGGTCCCCCTTTACAAGGGCACCTCAGTGAGATAATGGGAACTGGGATTGGCTGCCTGTGGACTTGAGCGGCCTATAAGAGGCCACACAGGCAAGAAGCTAGTCTTCTTACTTCCTCTGCATCACTGCTAAGTGCCTTTATGACTTCTCTTCAAGAAGGCCTTAAACGTAGGCTAAGTAGGCAGACGCTTAGTGTGCTACTTGTAAGGGGACACTGTCTGGGAATAACAAGGTTATTCTGCAATGGGACAGTTCTAAACTGATAAAATATGATATAAAAGCTTGGTATTTTTATTATAATAAACTGTTCTCTCCTGGTGACAAACCCCATCTCATCCTTCCTAAAGGGTCTCCCTGTTTCTGCTCAGTCATACACTCCAGAATCCTTTGCTGTGATTGCCACAGCAGCTCCTTTAAAGCAGTGGTTCCCAATTCGTTTTTAATAAGGTGACCTACCAACTGCATTTTGTCTTTTTTTGAGATCTCCCCATTACATATATTAACCCTCTGCCCTGGCCTCCACCTTCCACCCAGCCCAGTGCAGAGAGGAGGTGAGGAGGGGGTTGAAGAACAAGCCCATCCTGTACTCACTCCACAGCAGTGGCTCCTGTCCCATGGGGCTGGGTCCAGCTCCCCGTCCCATGGGGCTGGGTCTAGCTCCCTGCCCCAGGCATTGCAACCTGGTACCCAGGGTTGCTTCATCGCTCAGGTTTGGCCCAGCCACCCCTCCATCAGGGTCCAGTGATAGGTTAGTCCAGCGCCAGACGTGATGACCCATCTAGAAGCTTCCTGCGACCCATTGGTGGGTTGGGACCCATAGTTAGGGAAACACTGTTTTAAAGCACTGTGGCATCAAGCAACACTGGGACCACAAAACAGAAACTGGGATTGAGTTTGGGAAGGATGAAATTCTATAGGTGGGTGCAAGTTCCATCCTTTACAAAAACAGGAAGATAGGAGAGTTGCTGACCTGGGTTGACAGGTGCAAGAGAGGCAGCAGAGAATGATGGATACAGGGTAAAGGAGACACTAAATCCTATCTTCACCTAGGGAATTATTGCACATACACCTGACTCTGCCAGACATTTCTGAATCCATACATTTTAAATTTAGTACAGCTTGTACTTGGAAAGCCTCCATCAAGGCTCCCCCCAGAACTGCAATGTTAGCATCTTCCTTCCTCCTCTCTCTTGGCTGCTGTTTGAAATTGTTCTCAGGACCCAGTTCTGCTCCTGTTGAAATAAAAGGCAGAATTTCCACTGATTCCCATAGGAGCAGGATCAGACCTTTAATTTGCAGTTCTCCATGACAAAAAGTAGTCCAGGGCAACAGAGTTAATATCTCCAGTACTGCACAGTAATATAATTTCTATTGTGCATAGTGTCTCCGAAACTGATATCTCGGGAGACCGTGGTAGGCACTGTTTGAAATAATAATAGAATAGTTTGTACACAAGTACTAAACACCAGCCCTGCTATTTAGCACTTGAGTATATCAGACACATACTGTAGCACTTAATTGTTAGTAATGAAAGCACCTCAGTTAGTGTATCAACAACGTGGCACAAAGATCATTTAAAAATCTGTCTTTCATACTACATCGGAAATCTTTGTCAGACGTCTGATGTGTTTCTTACTGGGAATTAGTCCTCCCATCACAGCTACCCTAGAGAAACAGGTAACCAAGTTAAAAAAAATCCATTAAACAATAAAGTTAAGGGGGAGCTGTTGGTTCTTAACTATTCTCTTATGCTCCAAAATATACAAATACAAAGATAGAAAAATATGGGGAAAACTAAATAAAAGCAAATTATAAAACTCAGTGAAATAAGAATGAATCTGTCAGTTGTACAAGACTTTTTTTAAAACTCAGAGCAGAATCATGAAACTTGCTTAGAAAATACCAGTTTGGAGGTTGATAGTAAAAAAATACCTTTTCATTCAAGAAAATCAATGAGTTCTTAACCTTCTTTAGTGAATTTCTGGAGCTGGTAGAAAGTGCTGGATTGACAAACTTGATTCATTCATAGACCAGAGGCAGGGTGTCAGTGCAGGCCAGGAGCGCCGCCAGCTTTTCTGCCGCCCTAGGCGGCGGAAGGTCCCGCCCCGAAATGTCGCCCCCCACAGAGGCGGCGGAAGGTCCCGCCGCCGAAATATCACCGCGGTCGTCTTCCCCCAAATTGTAGCGCCGTCGCCTAATAGGTTGCGCCAGCCCTGGTGCAGGCTTCCCCAAACTGACTGTCCAGAGTGCCTGATGACTAACCTTCAAGGACCTCTAGCAGAAAGAAGTGGAGGCCAGTCATCAGGACCCATTTAGTTCTTGGCTTCTCTGAGGAGTTTAATAAGGGTGTAAGCTGTGGTGGCAGTATTGTGATGTGGACATTTATCCACTAGAAACTGGGCAGAAACCACCAGCTTGCTTCACACAGACCATCATGAGGCCGTTGGATGTCTTATGGTCACAACTGATCATGGCTAGGTCATCATTTCCTGCCAGGTTTATATGTGTGTCCATATAATTTTTTACCAGGCTGCCATTTCTGGCACCTCTACAATCACAGCTGTCTAGTCCTGTTTAAAAGGAGTGCCTTGCATATCTCTCCACTTATAAGCAAAACACTTGGGAGTCTCTTCGGGATATTGCTTGCCTTTTGATATCTAGCTTAGAAGAAGAAAATTGGTCCCCTTATGACAGTGAGGTGCCCTGATGGCTTGGACGCAGGTGGTAATTTAGGGGCCTGCTGCTGTAAATTGGCATAACTCATTTAACTTCAGTGGAGCTACCTTGAATTACACCAGCTGAGGACCTGGCTCTATAGCTACAAATCTTAAAGAGGTATGCCAAGGGCTTTCAAAGATGAAGTCTCCTTCACCAACTTCTTCATGACTCCTTGCCCCTCCAGAAACTTCCATCTTTCCAGAACACTGAGGCCTTTATTCTGATCTATATCACCCCCGCCTATGGTTAAAACCCATTTACGTTTTTAAGGTTCCCATGATGTAATTTACCTATGTGACAATGATCATGTACCACGTGACTGATCTTGGTAAAGTACTTTGAGTAAAGTACTATCTTCCCTGGATAGAAGACACTATGGATGTAGCACTATTATTTAGTAGTTTATTTATTAGTAATACTGTTTATTATGATCATTCTAGCAGTTCTCAATGCAGTGATTCCCCCTCCCCTCACTACCTTTAAATTGCAGTTTTTCCTGTATAACCCTTTGACATTTGGCTTGTGGATACTCATGCATTGTATAGGGCTAATACATTTGCTCCTGTTTTTGTTTTGCAGTACAGAATTGGACAGCTGTACATGATCAGTAAGCATAGCCATGAGCAGAGTGACCGAGGGGAGGGCGTGGAAGTGGTGCAGAATGAACCCTATGAAGATCCAAATCATGGCAATGGTCAGCTAACAGAAAAGCGGGTCTATCTCAACAGGCAAGTACCATGCAGCTGTTTCCCTGAACAGCATGCTGCTGTAACCTCCAGTCATGCACAGTGTTGAAGATTTGCAGGGCATAACACCTCTCTCAGGAAATAGCCTTTGTGTTTCAAATGTAATGTGTTCTATTGACTACAGTTACTGGAAACTTCAAGGAAAGGGACACAGTGGAAGAGTACATTTGGAAGAGCACATTTTCCATGACAAAGAATTATGGCCTGAAGGCAGGGTTGTGTTGAAAATCAGCACATTTCTCCTTTTTATTTCACACTTCCCCATTTTTCAAAATAGGTATAACAAAAAGGGAATCTATTAAAAGAAACGTAGTGTGCCAGATGGACTGGGAGTCACTACATCTGGGTTCTGTTCCTCACTCTATCCCATGCTTGCTGTGTGAACTTGTGAAAGTCCAGGAGAGTCTGATTTCCCAAGGCGCGGAGCACCAATAACTCCCATTGACTTTAATTAAGGTTGTGGATGCCCTTAATCGCTGTGTGCTTCCATTTCATCCCCAACAGTAAAACTGAAATGATGGTTCTTCTTTCCTGCACAGAGCTGTTTGAAGATCAATTCATTAATGTTTGTAATGTGCTGTGAGAGTCTCTGACGGCAAGTGTTATAGAAGTGCAAAAAAATGTAACGCACTGAAGTTCTTCTTTAAAACAAAGTTATTTTCTTTTCAAAATCTAGATCAAAGATAGATTTTTTTTCTAACACCCCAAATCAGCAACTTCAGCTAAAATCAAATAGGTGCATTAAAATTAATCCTGCCTGAAATGGCACAGAGGTTAATCATGTCTCCTTTGTTTAACATCAGTAGCATGCAGAAAGTCACTCTGGCCCCACACTTAGCAGAGAATTGCTTAGGGTAGCAGTGAGCCCTTGGGGTGCTGATGCAGCAAGATTGAGCACTACTTCATACGAACTGCATAAGGCCAGTGACCCATTTTGGTAACAAAAGATTTGTCTCAGCAAAGTGAGTTGACATTATGAATGACCACTAGAATTGTACATCAGTGACCTTCTGCAGCAAAGTGACAGGCTTAAAGACATGATGAGAAAAATTGCTTTTGTTTCCCGACAGCCCCATCATTTCCTAAAGCAGAATATGTCTTTTCTACAACTGAAATTAAAGTGTTAGGGGTCAGTGCTTCCACACTGACTTAAAGGCCAGTATTAATTTTAAAACCTATATATTTCTGTTGTATGAAATATATTCCTTAATCTGCTGCAGTTTTTTATTACTACTGATCTAATTGAATGTTGCTGCTTTTCTAATTCTTCTGTGTTCCCTTAGGCCCATTTTCTTTATTGAGCTTCTCTGCACTGTGATCCTTAGAAGCAGATATAGCAATATTGTGGCAATTACACCATTCCATGTTGTTCTGGAATCCTGACAGATCTGACCTTTCCCCAGCCTAACAATAGAATGACCAGCAATAGTCCACGCCTACAAATAATTGTTCTTGTGCAAAAAGTCTGCTGAGGGCCTTATTCACCACTTAGAAGCTTAATATCTGTCACGGGATAGGAGATCAGTGCTGGTACAAATGTGCTTGGCATGCACACGTGTTCAAAATGCTGTGCACAAACATAACACATTTTCAAAAACTGTCCTGAGGATTCATATCAAATAAATCCACATGCCTTTGTGGTTAGTTTTATCTCCATTCCATTCAGAGAAAGAATGTGAGATGTTTACTTCCATCTGGGAAGGAGAAATGGGGAGGACAGATCACTGCACCTTCATGCAGATTTTAGAGATTTCAGGGTAGCTGTCCATTCTGTCTCCTTCACTTTTCCCCCGTGAGATCCATATTTTTGTGGGGAGGTGAAAGATCATTCTCTTTGACATATCTTTTTCTGTCAGAAAAGTACCGTATCTGATCCATTGCAACGAAATGATTCCAATATCTTTCTTGACTATGGGAAAGTGCCCTTGAGAGAGTGTCAGTGTCTTACTAGAATGCTGCCTGATGGCCAGTGCAGATCTTTTGCTGTGACTGCTCTACTTCTGCTGTCCATAAGTACTTTAGTTTGCAGTTTCCATTATAATGGGGGGGGGGGAAAAGCCTTGCCATAAATACCAGTATATGAATTACATTCATAAAAGACAGTGCTCTGTGGGCAAGTCATCAGTACTGTGAGTCACAGATATAGGACTGGAGAAAATTCATATATTGCTCAGAAATATCATCTCATAGATTTTATGAGTCAAATCCTGGCTCCCTGGGCTGGAACAATGGCAAACCTCCCATTGACTTTAATGGGGTCAGGATTTTACCCTATATCTTCAAGCGTAAACAATTTCAAAGTCACATTGACTTGGCCTGGCTTTTTATCAAGTACCTGACATTAATCTAGATTAGAAGCTTTGGCTGAAAAACAATTTACGTACATTAGCAATAAAAGGATCTTTTTTCTTTTGCCCGGTAGTTGTCTGTTCAGTAATTCATTATTCAGTAATTTGTGACATTGTCAGAACACTGAATATAAAGTTTACGTAGGCCAAAAAACTTCAAAAATATATGGATCAGTGTCCAAGATGGCTGCCACATAGAAAAATGTTAGCAGATTCAACCAGTCTTAAACCCTTTCCTAACTGCTGAACCCACTCACTGCTCCCTCTCCTTCTACTGACAAGCCCAGTCCCTCCCTTCCAGCTCTTAATATATCTCCTGGACCTCACTTTTAGGGTGAAATCATGGCCCCATTGAAGACAACAGAAAAATGCCCATTAAATTTAAGGGGGCAAGTATTTCACCCTCTCTTGGCATTCTAAATGTTTGAGCTGCTCCTACCTAACCACCCAGCACGTCTGGTTAAGGTTACCATTCTAGTTGCAGTGTTGTCATCAAATCAATGGGCTTGCAAAAGGTGTAAATCTGCTAAATTTGACCCATTGTTTTCCAGCTGGAGCTTTCCTGTATTCTCTGACAACTAAATCAACACAGACTCAGCACTTCGCAACATTTCTGGGGTTTCAATGTACCTTGCAAGTTTTGCTTTTAAGTTTTTGGGTTCCGAACTCAGTAAACACTGATGACTTTTACCTGTTTTCATAGTACTTCTGAGCACAAGTTACCAAGCACAACAGTGATTTTTGGGTGGTTTCAGCTTAAAATAGATCTGGGTGTTCTAATCTAGATGCAGGTTTTCTCTAAATATTCGAGAACTATAGTGAATTTTGCAATGGAGCTAGTCTAAAACTCAAATTTGTTGCAACGCTGGAAAGTAGTCTAGTTTCACCCGGTTTCTCTGAGAATGTTTCACATATCTGTCATTCCTGGATAACTCATTTGATTGCTGTGTTGTAAATTATCAGCAACAGGAGAGGCAATAATACATTTTAGGGCAACAGAAGCCTTCACTGAGTTCTGCTAATGTTGCGTTCTGATGGATTAGTACATGTCTGTCAATCTGCAAACTCCATTCTGGTTTGTGAACTCCATTTTGATTGTTAATGTGTGCTGCTGAGTCTTCACTTTGGCAATTCAGCCTCAATTTGGAGCTGAAACATCCAGGTGGTATCAGGAAAAATCCTGGTTAGCAGAGGGCTAACAATGGAGAGCAAACAGGGGTCATCTACATGGATGGTCTTCCATTCAAATGGTAGCACCCTAAAACAACGACCGTGTTGCAATCCACAGGAACCAGTCTTACCCAGTCTGGACTTCAAGCAACCAATCACCAGACAGGGGACTTGAAGCAACGGTGGGTCACCTGACAGAGGGGACTAGAATTTTATAAAAGAACAAATTCAGCTCTGAGCTGGCTCTCTATTGGCTGACAACAGGAGGGGGCAGGAGGGGATGCAGAAGAATCTCCGCCTCCCTGGAAGACACTGACCAAGAACCAAAGGGCTCTTAGGAGGGGTCAAGAACTGCGGTGGTGTGTTTGTTGGTTGGTTTTCCATAGATCTGTATATCTCCTATGCTTAGTCTGTGATTAACTTGTATGTGATGTAAAGTGCCTTGGCAAAGTCTGTGTCCGTGAAAGGTGGAGCAGTAATCTAGAGTCCTCACAAGGGTGTAGCTCTGGAGGGGATATGCAAGAGCTACTTCAGAGACTGGGAAAGTCCACAGTGGTCTTGGGGTGCAGGTCAGTGGGGCTATGGGGCCCCATGACTCAGGAGTGGGTACCAGGGTTGCAGTCTGTATCCCAGTAGTGTACCTGAAAAGCCAGACATAGGGGAGTGGCTGAACACTGGTCAGACTCAATAAGCTTTAAAACTCATAAGAGCCAAAGGTTTGGGTCCAGAATAGCAGCCTGGTGAGCGTCCACGAAGGGGAGCTCAGCTAGGGCCGTTACATAAGTATTTTAAGTCAAACATATTGAATTTAAATAGAACTACAACTATAAACAGCACTGTAACAGGGCAAATTGCCCCTGATGGGCTGGAGGGTTTGGAGCTAGCAAACCCTGATTTCTAAAGAGGCGCGCCTGGGTTGGATCAAGTAATTCCCTATAAAGGGCAGCAGGGAAGAGGGAAATGCAGAAAACTGCAGGAAGGCCTTCTCCAGGGAAGACCCCGATATCGAGGGGTTTGGAAGCCAGAACTGGAAGCCTGAGGCTCTAGCCAGGTAGGCCCTGGGTACGGGCCTGCCAAAGCAGGAAAAGCCCCAATCAGGAAGATCTGGGAGCAGGGTGAATTGGAGACTGCTGACAGGGAGCAGGTTCCAGCAGAAAGATCTGGGGCATGGGGTTTCCCTACTGAGACTACAGGCAGGAAAAGCCTGGCAGTGACCTGACAAGAGGTTAAAACCAATGGCCTGTGTTTTGGGACCTTGAGTTTTATTTATGTGAATAAACTCAGAGCCCTGAGAAAGGGTGGTGAATGGACAAGAAAAGCCAGGGTGGGGTTTGTTTAAGAAGCCCTGTGAGGGAGAAATTGTTAGCAGGGCACTGCAGAGGTACCTCTGGCCTTGAAGAGGTCAAAATATAGTGCTTAGACTAATTGAATTGAAGATACAAAAGAATGCTATAGAAACATATAGTGTTCCTTTATCTCTGTTACCTAAAATTAGTCCAACTTATTTGAGCAGAATTTTTATGGAAAGTAAAGGGAGACCTTCTGCTAAATTAGTTCCCTGATAAGTACGTAAAAGGTTGTTACAAGGAGGAGAGGAAAAAATTGTTCTCCTTAACCTCTGAGGACAGGACAAGAAGCAATGGGCTCAAATTGCAGCACGGGAGGTTTAGGTTGGACATTAGGAAAAACTTCCTAACTGTCAGGGTGGTTAAGTACTGGAATAAATTGCCTAAGGAGGTTGTGGAATCTCCATCATTGGATATTTTTAAGAGCAGGTTAGACAAACACCTGTCAGGAATGGTCTAGATAATACTTAGTCCTGCCATGAGTGCAGGGGACTGGACTAGATGACCTCTCAAGGTCCCTTCCAATCCTATGATTCTATGATTCTGTAACTGTCAAGTATCAAATTTAGCATTTGATGTAGCAGCTAATTTTTCAAAGAACAAATTAACTGGTTGTAGAAGTTTCAGGAAAAAAGAGCCCCGGTTTTCTGCTGAAGAACTAAAATTAAAATCTAAGCAGGATAATTTATAGCTGCACTCTAGGCAGCCAAATCCAAAGCACCCAATTCAACTTTCCATTGAAATCAATGGACATTTTGCCATTGACTTCAGTGGGAGTTGCGTCAGCAATAAAATGAGGCATTCATAATAGCAGTGATAGTGTGTCACGCTTAGTTTTCCATTGTATAAAGCAAACTGTGGAGAAGGCCAAGCCTTTGGCAGAGGAAGTAGCTTTTACCATACTGACGTATTCCAGATATCAGAACAAATGGAAAGTACACTTACATTTAGAATCCCATAACCCAGTTCCCTGAGTGAACAACAAGGCCCTTGTTTTCTTCCAAGTGGATTTCAGAGAGATGTCACTCGACTCGCACCACCACTTCTGAAATGAAATGGAGATGAAGTGGCACTTGGTTGAGGATTTGTTTATAAGATACTTCTGTCAGGGTCAAAATGAGACAGAAAACCAGTTAAAGGTCCTGTTCTTGTAGTCCTTTCTCCTGCTGGGGGCAATGGGTGCTTTGCTTGAACAAGGAATGTAGGTTTCAAGCCATGACTGGACACTTTTAAACAACTTATTCTGATACATAAATACCCTGACTCTGCATCAGACTACACTCAAGACTGTAGCTGTGGAGCTCCTTTAAAAAAAAAAATACAGACCTTCCTTTACTTTCATTCTCTGGAGAGCCCAGACTCACCTCAGTCTGGTGGCCTAGTGGCAAAGTCTGAACAAATACAGTGCAGATTTTGTGAGAAAGTTATAAAACCCAACCAAAGGGCCTCTCCCTGGAGTTTCTTCCTCCCTGATATTCCTGCTGGGGTTCCAGATGCTTTCCAGAGATCTGGCAATCAAGTTCAAACAAACAGATTTCTTCCTGTTTCTGGGAAAGACCAATAGCATCCAGGGTTCCCTCTAATTTTTCCCACCCATGTGCGGAATGAATTTTGTTATGTAATTTGTTCTCCAAGAACCACTGCTTAGGGCTTTGTACAAGAAAAGCATGGGTAAGCAAAAACAAGCCTTCGGACAATGTCATTGTGAAGGCGAAAAAGTCAATGCACTTAACTTCTGGTTTACATGAAAACTTGTGGTTTTAGGTGTGGTAACTTCTGCATTTTGGCTTCCACACAAATGCAAAGATTTATATTGAGCAAAATCTTGATTAAACAATCCTTAATTATCCAAAACCCTCTGTTATCCCTGACATGCAGTGGTGGTATTGAAAATTCCCTCAATTATCTAACTCACAAACAGTTGAACTTAATTGATTTCCCCCTTACATTTGGATAATTGAGTTCAGAAGCTACTTGCTGTGGTTCAGTTCAGACTCCATCTAAGACCACATGATCTTTGTCATGCCCCTGGTCTGATCAAAGCTATTTTAAATGGAGCCCTGAAGAGTATTTCTATTTATCATCTCCAAACTTCTGCCTCTCTCCTGGTGGCCAATGCCCCATCATTGTCACCACCAGTTTGGTGGCTAAAGCGGATGACACAAGGGAATACTTGAGCAGCAAATGTATATAAACTCTCCTTCCCTTTAAAACCAAGGTTTGTCAACTCCACAATAACTTGTGGTTCTCTGAGCTCCACAAATTGGAGATGCTAGTACAAAAATTGACTCTAGCCTGCCAGGGATAGTGCCTAATCATGGTGGTTATCTTACCATGTGAGTATTCAAAAGCAATTACTTAGTTGTAAGCTTTTTGGGGCAGGGACTGTCTTTTTGTTCTGTGTTTGTATAGCACCTACTGAGCGCTTAAGCGTTGCAATAATACAGATAATAGTGACTGAATGCTGCACTGGCTTTTGCCTGGTACAACCCCATAGAAGTCATCACTCCAACTGGGTTGTCACTGTGTCAGGTATTTTTGCATGGTTGCAGGGGGTTTTTCTTAACCACAAAAAAATGACCCCCCCCCTTATCTAAGGGTTTTCTTAGTCTACTAGGATTGTAGCCAGTGTCTTGGTAAATTGCCTGGCAGACTGGACCCTGGGCTAGAACTCAAAGGTCCTCCATTCTAACTCTGGCTCTTTATCATTCTGGATCCGTTTCCCCATTTGCAAAATGGACATAATACACCTCTACCTTGATATAACGCTGTCCTCCGGAGCCAAAAAATCTTACCACGTTATAGGTGAAACCGCGTTATATTGAACTTGCTTTGATCCACCGGAGTGCGCAGTCCTACCCCCCCCCGCCCCCCGGAGCACTGTCTTTAC